ATTTTCTTCCACTCTGTAGGCTGTTGTTTCACTCTGTTGATAAAACAATAATAATATTAATATTTTTGTTTTTAAATGATACTGCTAAAATACATAGAAACAATTGTGAATAAGCCAGGAGAAGTGGAGTTTTAATGTTCTGTCAAAGCAAACACTTCAATCTGTAGGAAAATTTAAATGAGGCTTTTATTTAGGTTTGCAAACTGGGGAGAGCACCTCTCAGCCTCAGAAGTCTGTCCAACATGCAGAAAAAGCAAAGAGGTTTTACACTGTAAATTCAGGAAAATCTAAGTAGTAAACAAATTCCAAACATTGTGTGAAGAAGGAATGGACAACAGACTATGACATATTGAACAAATGGTTTCTCAGTCCTTTTACAATATTTATGGCTACTGTAATCTAGGCTATTCAATTTGTAAGTAATTTCCATATGTTTAATCCTGCCTTCCCAGGATTTCTCTAAACAATGTTACCTGTGCTTATCTACACAATGGGTTTCTCGGTGATAACAAACTTCCAGGAAAAGAGTCTGTTTGTCAACCAGTAAATTCTAATGGATGGACAGCTTCTTGGGCTAGAAGAAAATAAGTCAATTAAGTTTACCAAAAAATGGAGTCACTGTGGTTCTTTTCTTTTACTCTCCTTTCCTGGCCTCTTTTCTTCATCAGTTCTAAGTCTTTACAAGGAGGTTAAAGATATTAATGAGTTGAAACTTTTGATAGGTGAATATTATGATAAAATTATTATGACAGGTGAATATTATGAATATTTCATAGATGAATATTTATGTTCATGATTAAGCGAATGGAGGTAGGGTGCGTAACTTCCAAATTGCTTATGGGAAAAAAATTTGGAGGGAAAAATATTTAATCAATGAAAAGAGAGTCGAAGAAAGAGAAAAATAAATAGAATACAAAGAACAAAGTAAATAAATAATTAGCAGAAATAAAATTCAAGTATACAAGTTATAACTATAAATACAAATAGACTAAATCATACAACTAAAATATACAAGTCAAATACGAGTTTTTAAAACCTGGATATATACTTTTTTTGTTTTTTGGGTTTTTTGGCAGGTGGCCAAAATAAATAAAATATGGATAAAACTGAAAGACATTATGTTAAGTAAAGTAAACCAGGCACCGAAAGACAAATACTGAATGATCTCACTTATATGTGTAATTTTAAAAGGTTGAAGTCCTAGAAGCAGAGAGTAGAACGGTAGTTAGCAGGAGCTGGGTGGAGTGGGGTGTGGGATGGGGAAGTGATGGTCAAAGGGCACAAATGTTTAGTTAGATAGAATAAGTTCAAGGTATATATTGTATAACATGGTGACTGATAGTTAATAACAATGTAGTGTATTCTTGTAAATAGCTAAAAGAGTAGATTTTAAGTGTTCTCACCACAAAAAATGGTAAATATGCAAGAATGCATATGTAATTAGCTTGACTTAGCCATTCCACAGTTTACACATCACGTAAAGGATAAATATACAAAAATATTCAAAACATCACGTAAAGGATAAATATACAAAATTTCTATTTAACAATTAAAAAATAATTAGAAAATAATTGACCAATAAAGCAATCTCAATATCAAAAATTATCACATAAACATTATTCTCTTCCCACCGTATAGTAATTAGTTAAAAATCAGTAACAAAGTCATAACTAAAAAATTCCCACATGCTCAGATAAAAAATACATTTCTCATCTAATGTTTCTCAAGTATTAAAATGCATACAAATCACCTGGGAATCTTACTAAAATGCACGTCTTGATTTATTGGTTCTGGGATGGGTTGAGATTCTGTATTTCTGACAAACTTCCAGGAAGTTGCTGCTGGTCTGTCCACAACACTGTGAACAGCGAGGTTCAAACTAATTCATAGGTCAGAGAACATGACACAGTGGAAATTTTTAAATGTTTAAATATTTTAAGCATGATAATCAAACATTACATACCAAAGCTTATGAAATGCTGCTAAAGCCTATACTGTATAAAGGGAAAGTTAGAGTTTTACCTACTTGGTTATAAGGAGAAAAAGGTGAAAATTCATGAGACAAAAACACAAAATAATAAGAAAAAACAGAATGAAAAGAAAGGAAGTTGAAAGAAAGGAAGATAATGCTGAGAGCAGAAAATAATTAAATAAAAATCAAACATACAGGAGAGAAGGTCAACAAAACCAAAAGTTGATTCTTTGAAAAGACCAATTAAATTGACAAATCCCTTATAAAAACAATCAAGAAAAAAATAGAAAACACATCATCTATATGAGGAATAAAACATGTGGCCATCACTACAACTCTATAGATAGTAATGAGATCAAAGAAAATATTGTCAGCAATTTTACACCAAAAATTAAATTTAGAAGAAAGAAACAATTACTTAATATGATCTGAGAAGAAATTGAAAAAGTGACAGTTCTAAATTGTTTAAGAAATTAAATCTTTACATTCTTTGAGTGTTTCTGCTACAACATTCTGATGTCTAGTTGCTGGCTCTATGGTTTTCAAGATAGTTGTAGTAGCAACAGCAAAGTGTTCTCATTCTTATATCACAGTTACTGTGGTATATATTCTTAAAGTCAACAGGTCCGGTCATGGACTCCTGATCCCCCACTTTTCTGATCATGCAAAAAGCAGCAGATTCTATGCTGGGCCAGTTTGCTGGAATTATTCTGAAAATCATTCTGGGAAAACAATCCTAGAGTCAATTTCTAAGTTTTTGTGTTTTTTGAAGCACTTAATTCTGGGTATTAAAAATATTTCTGTTTGAAACAGCTGGTGTTTTTCATTTCCTGCAACTAAATCCTAACTGATGCACATAGGTACAATATCTTGCAAATGTGTATAATTTTTTTAAAGAATTAATCTATACTATTGATGAATTCATTCCATACACACATGCAACATACTTAATTTTTCATAACTTTCCAATCTTTTGTTAACTCAACCTTTTGTTCCATAATAACTGTGCCTCTCTTCTTACTGGCACTCTCAATACCCATATTGCTTTTGGGCTAACAAGACATAATGGGGTGAATAATGTTATTTTTACATATCTTAAGACACCACAGACCAGTGAAAATGTGATATTCACGACTAACTGGTCGCACAGGGCTGCTAATTCCATCTATTAGTGTCAAAGTAAGTAAATATGCCTTAGCTTGATTATTCTGTTTTGGTCATAGAAGTAAAACTTACATTTCATAGTTGAAAGTTCATAAAAGGAACTGTTTTTATTTTTTTAAAAAAGCATAGTTTAAACAAAACAGAGGAAACTGTTGGAAAGATACTACAGTAGTTAATGAAATCCAAGGAAGGCTTGAACTTCAGAAGGAGAGGAACCAAGGAAGCTCTTAGAACTTGAACAACTAATGATACTCAGAGCCAACGATCTTCAAAATCTGAGTTTTTAGAAAAAGTTACAAATTAGCCGGGGAAAGCATCTGACTGGTAGGGTTGATACCTCTATGCTATGTCCAAGAAATCAGAGCAACATACTATAAAATTCCTGCTTGTAGAGGATGTGGGAAACATTGTAAACTCAAAAGTTAAGGTTATGCCGAGAACTGCCTCCCACAACTTATTAACACACATATGCTGAGTTCATAATGTTGATTCAGTCCTCATGCTGGCCACTGGAGACAGCAGTACCAGCCAGATAGAGTCTTGGATCCAACTCTTCTGATTCTCACACACTAGGTGCCAATCTTAGGCATAACTGGGCTGACAAACAGTAAGTCAAATATATAACCTTACCCACCTCCAACCTTCAAAAGAAGAGGTGTAAAGGGCTTGCTCTTCCTTTCCTATCTTATATATCTTATGTTTCCACCTAGGATCAAGAGCAGGAAATTTGTTGCATAGAGGTGTTCAGGAAAGGCTGTTATCAAAAAAAATCAGAGAAAACACAACTACTGTGAGCAGCACACAAACCTGCTTTAGCTGCACTTCACTGCTCATGGCCTAAGGCCATGAAGAGGCCAATAAAGGCTGGTGCTCAAGAACACCAACCCAGATCCAAGACTTCCTCTCTGGTACCCAGACATGAAGCTCCTTTTTCCTATCTTTGCCATCCTCATGCTTCAGTACCAGGTGAATACAGGTAATGTGGACTCCTGGGGTTGAGAGGTCAGTGTGAGGCAGCAGGAATTTGGCTGCCCATAACAATGAAAACCCAAAGAGATTCTGAAAGATGAGATGCTCAAAGAGATGGCTGAAGAGCTTATTCATTGTCTCAGTCATGCACCATCCCCACGTATCGTCAGAGGCCCCAACCCCCAGACTATGTCCAGTGGAAACACCCAGGGAGCTACAAGGAAAACTGTGATTTTTTGTGTACTCAGAAACCATGAGACATATGATGCCACCTTCCTTCCCTGAACATCATCCTGAGACTCAGCCCAGGTCTACCTCATTTTAGTGCTATTTATAATTTAAACTGTCTCTTGAAGCAAAGGTTCTTATTATTCTGTACTTTGGTGTATGATGGAGGAAGTCCTTACCCTTAAGAACAACAACAACAAAAAATCCCCTCTTAGGGTCTTGTAAACAGGTCTATGTTCTCTATCTCAATTTTTTCAGTTTTTAGAGTCTTATCCCTTCCCTCATCCTCTGTCTTCCTGGAAACTCCCAACCAGCATAAGGGCATCTAGGAACACATTATGGCAAAAGGCTGATCCAGAGAATTGCCATTGTTTTCGGAAAAGAAGAGAGATGCATTGAGACTTGTTTCAGAAGACAAGAATCACCCAGATGTGTTGAATAATTAGCAATGGGTCGAGGAAGGAAAAGTGAGAGTCAAAGATGTTTCTAATGTTTTTATTTGGGACCCCAGAAGAAGGGTAGTAGCACAAGCAAGTTTGGCTGGGTTGTCTCGGGTAAAGTTACTTAACCACTTTGAGCTTCAAATTCCACGTAAGTATAATGGGGTTGATCATGCAGCTGCTTCCAATACAAAAATTTTTTTGTTTTGTATTTGGTGAGAAAACAATGTGGAAATGTATGTGAATGTGTTATGAAAATTATTTGATGCTTGCAGAAATCTCTGGTAATTTATGGAAATAGGCTGAATTGTTAAGGTGGGTGAGGGAGAAAAACTTTCTTGATTCCAAAAAAAAGGTAAGATGTCAAGATGGAAAAATCAACCAGTAGATGAAGATGGGGTACTAAGCTAAGCAAAGAATTTAGAATTATACTCATATATAACAATACAGAAGTTATCTTGATAGAGATGAGGTTAAAGCTATGATAATGAAGAAGACCTCTGAGAGACAGAGTGTCCAGAGAGGCTGAAAGTGATAGAACACCTCGCCCCAGCAATCACTAGTGTAGTAATTGTCAGGGAGGGAGAAGTCAAGAACCGACAGGTTTGGCAAAAAGACAGCATTTCTGAAAATCCTAATGCTTCTCTTTTAAAATTCTTCCTTAGATTAGTTTTATGGCAGATTTCACTATCATTGATATTTCCTAGGAGTTTGGGGATGGGATAGCAATGCCCTACAAGTGTCTAAGACGCTAAGTTGGGAGGCCTAAAATCCTACTCCAAAAGCAAATAATTGGGATCCCTATTCTATCCTCTGTGTGTCTTAGCTTTTTATAGTTACCCACAAAGGAAGATACACAGGAGATTTATTCTGGATTACAATGGTGTACAGGCACTCTGTTGTCCTGCCCAGGTGACTCCTTCAACATCCCTAAACACTGGACTTAAAATTTGATATTAATAAATTCCTTCTTACTCTATTCATCTCTCTCAAGCAGTTTTATCATCTCTAGCTATTAACCTTGGCCAAATGGTTTTCTCTTTTCTTTGTGTAGAATTTTTTGGTCTGAGAAGATGTTTAATGGGTTTGGGGAAATGCAAGGACCAGTGCACTGTGGATGAAAGAGAAATACAGGAATGCAAGAAGAGAAAATGTTGTATTGGACCAAAAATAGTCCAACTGATAAAAAAGTACCTGCAATATGAAATACCCCAAATACTTGGCGAAGATGCCCAAGAAATACTAAAAATTGCCAAGAATTCTAGTGGTATTTTAGAAACAAAATATATTTTATCCATTCTCCCCAAAGTCAAAAATGCCAGCCCTTTGGACAACACCAATTCTGTCATCAACCCAAATATCACCTCTATGAACACCACCACCAACAATACCGTGACCCCAGGACATATCACATATATTGCTACTTCTACCAAGAATGACACCAAAAAAAGCAGAGATTCTGTGACTGCCTCCCCGCCACCAGCACCACTTCCACCGTAGACACTGCCGATACCACCACCGGAGCTGGAGGAAGCAGATGAGCAGTGAAGTGGGTCTTTCCCTTAAAACACGAAGATCTATATTCACTACCTATAAAATGAGACATAGAACTGTTTCCTCTGTCATCATTCAATAAATACCGTTGAAACACCTACAGTTGTATAATTTCATCATTCTCAGAGAAGCCTCACAGAGGAGGAAGAGTTAGGAAGGGATGGAATTTTAAGATTAGATGCCCAGGAGAAAGGAAACACTAGTAATGGTGACTACAGCATTGTTTGGCCCATGGATGGCCAGTTTAGACCTCTGTAAGAAATATTTATAACTCTCATTTCCAGGAGCAGCAGAAAAGAAAGCGTCAGGAGACATATTTTCTTTTCTCATAGATTTGGGGCTGGAGAGTAGTGGGGAAGGCCCATCTGCAAAATAGAATGTGGAGAAACCAGAAATAGGTAAAATTAATTTTAATAATATATTTTATTTAATGCAATATATTCAAAATGTAAACAAATTGACATGTAGTCAATATAAAAATAATGAGACATTTTACATTTTTTTGTACTAAATCTTTGAAATCTCATATATGTACTACTCTTACAGCACATTTCAATTTTTATTAGCCACATTTCAAGTGCTCAGTAGACACCTGAAGCTAGAGGACACCGTATTATACTGGGCAACACAAGGTTAGAGAGTTTTGAGAGCACAAATAGCTATAGGACTGTTAGACAAAGGGGACAGTCCAGAGAATACAGCCATATTTCTGAGGGCTGCAGCATAGAATTTAAGAGTAGAGAAAATCAGGTCTGATACTCCTGGGCTAACATCCTGACTCTGATTCTTTTTAGCTGTGTGGCTTTGATTAAATCACTTATCCATGCATGAGCATCAGTTTATTCATTCATAAAATGAAGATGTAAACATTATATTATATCCCAGAATTCAGCAATCTCAGATTATGCCTCTTTTTATTGCCCAAATTACAATGGCACAGGCCTCTATTTGAGTTTTTTTAAACAGCTTTATTGAGGCATAATTGATATATAAAGACCTACACATTTTTAATGTGTATAATTGCATGAATTTGGGTATATGCAAACACCTGTGTTACTATCATCACAATCAAGAAAATAGACATATCCATCACCTCCCAGAGTTTGTCTCCCTTTGGGTTTCCTATTTGTTTTGGAGGTGGGGAGAGGTTGATGTTTGTTTGTTTTTTGTGATTAACACTTAACATGAAATATACCCTTTTAAATTTTGAAGTACATAATACCATGTTGTTAACTACAGGCACTGTGTTGTACAGTGGATCTCTAAAACTTATTCATCTTGAACAAATGAAACTTTGTACCTATTGAACAACTCCCCGTTTCCCCCATCCACTAACCCCTGACAACCACTACTGTATTCTCTGCTTCTGTGAGTCTGACTTTTTGAGATTTCACATACTCATTAATAAGGTCATGCTGCATTTGTCTTTCTGTGCCTGGCTTATTTCACTTAGCGTAATGTCCTCCAGGTTCATACATGCTGCTGCACATGGTAGGATTTCTTCCTTTTTTAAGACTGAACAATGATTCCATTGTATGTACATAACACATTTCCTTTATTTTTTAGTGTTTCATATTTTTATTTTAATTAATTTTTTTCATTGTACATGTTTATGGAGTACAGTTTGTTGTTTGAATACATGTATATATTGTATAGTGATCTAATCAGAATAATCCACATTTCCTTTATTCATTTATCTATCTATGAACACTTGGGTTGTTTCCACATCTTGGCTATTATGAATAATGCTACAATGAAGATGGGAGTGCAGATATCTCTTTGAGATTCTGATTTAAATTCCTTTGGATATAACAGAGTACTTTGAAAAGCTCATGGAAAAACTTGTATTACCTTTTAACTCTATTGTTCTGTGAATTTTTGAAGTACCCTCGTATGCCCAGAAGTGAGATTGCTGGATCACAGGGTAGTTCTATTTTTAGTTTTCTGAAAAACCTCCACACTCTTTTCCATAGTGGTTGTACCGTATTACAATCCCACCAGCAGTGCACAAGAATTCCAATTTCTCCACTTCCTTTCTAACCCTTGTTATCTTTTGGATTTTTTTTTTTGTGTGATAGCCATCCTAATAGGCATGAGATAATATCTCACTGTAGTTTTTATTAGCATTTGTCTGATAATTAATGATGCTCAGCATCCTTTCATATACCTGTTGGCCATTTGCATATCTTCTTTGGAGAAATGTCTGTTCAAGTCCTCCTCTGTCCATTTTTTAATCAGGTTATTTGTTTTTCTGCTACTGAGTAGTTCTTTGTATGTGTTGGAGATTAATTTCTTATCAGATATATAGTTTGCAAATATTTTTCTAATTCTATAGGCTGCCATTTTATTCTGTTGATAGTTTTCTTTGCTGCAGAGAAGAGGAGGGAACACTTCCAAACTGATTTTATGAGGCCAGCATTAAACTGATACTAATGCCAGATAAAGACACTACAATAAAAGAAAATTACAGGTCAATATCCCTGATGAACATAGATGAAAAAATTGTCAAAAAAATACAAGTAAGTCAAATTCAATAGCACGTTAAAAGGATCACGCACCATGATCAAGTGAAATTTATCCCTGGGATGAAAGGATGGTTCAACATACACATGTCAATAAATGTGATACACCAGAGTAACATAATGAAGGATAAAAATTACATGATTCTCTCAATAGATATACAGAAAACATTTGACAAAATTCAAAACCCTTTCTTGATAAAAATGCTCAACAAGCTAGATATAAAGTGAATGTATTTCAACATAATAAAGCCATATATGACAAGCTCACAGCTAACATTTTACTTAATGTTGACAAGTTGAAAGCTTTTCTTCTAAGTTGTGGAACAAAAATAGAATGCCCACTCTTGCCATTTCTATTCAGCATAGTATCGGAAGTCCTAGCCAGAGAAATTCAACAAAAAATAAACAAATAAATGAAAGACATCCAAATTGGAAAGTAAAAAGTAAAATTATTATCTCTGTTTGCAGATAACATGATCACATAAGTAGAAAACTTAAAAAACTCTACAAAAA